ACAACGTTTGTCTTCAAAAACATATAGTGGTGATACTTTTTTAGTGCAAGTATAAAACCATAAAATACTTTCTTCGTAATCTAGAAAATTTGATCTTTTTCCTGATAATAAGTATGTTGCCTAAGGTATTTTTAGTACCGCTAGTGCGAATGATTGTAGGATTTGTGTTCTTTCCAATTCGCATAGTTGATGAAGTGTCTCTAATTCGGAGAGTGACATTTCTTAAAAAAATTCGACTAATTGTGTAGTCTAACTTCATATCTAAGTGGATATCGTAATGAATATTACCAAAATAGGTGCTATTCATTAGTGGTAGTTCTTGTAAACGTGTGCTTTTACTGTCATGTGGTTTTAGTTTTCCACCAGGTTGACCTGTGCTTTTTTGAAAGTTAACTGGGATGTATGATGATCCTTCATTTAAAGGATGACTTACGGCATAAGGGTAAAATTTTATTTTTCCAGTGGTCATGTCGAAACCTTTTTCGTATTCGACAAGTATTTCAGAGTATTGTGTCTTATACTTGTGTTAGACAGATTCCTGTATTTACATGCAAATTCTGTTCTTGATAGATTTGGAAACGTGTTAATTTATTTTATATATCATGAATATTTCTAAAATCATTACTTTGTTTTCGGGATGGGTTTACTTGTTCGTATGGAATTGATTCTATAAAATATTTTTCATGAAATTTTATCATTCGAGCGTGTATTTTTGCTACTTGGAATGTTGTGCATGTATCTTCGGGAAACCAAACAATTGTTGCTTGGGTCCTTGTTGTAGGGTCACAATAACCTTGATCATTTTTGCAAGGTAATCTAATTCCTTGATAGATCATTGTGTTATCAGATAAATCTCGTGTGAATTGTACTTTTTCGAGTTGTATTTTCCAATCGAAAAACATTATTTCTTGATATCCTTTATTTTTTGAGTCTGCTTTGCAGTTTGAGGGGTCATTTATTCCAATGTGTGGTATCCAGTGTTTATCGTGTATGTCATAAGTTAATCTTCCGTGTGGGCCGTTGTATGGGTATTTTTCGTCTAATTTTATATGTCCTTGATATCGTTCAAGTTCTGCTTGATGTACAGAATCGGCAAAGACTTGAAAATTTACTATTTTTCTGTCTGTGTTTTTATTTTTTGTGATGTATAGTCTTAGTAGTTCGTTTTTACAATCATCGGAATTTAGATGTAAAAGTCGTTCTATATTACTTTGATAAAATGATTCGTGATCAAGTCGGTTCTTATTTCCATTGGAAACTTGTGAACAGTGTACTTTCTTTTCGGAAAATGTTGCTGATTTGGCAGTTTCAAAATCTAATTTATTTTCTCGATCGTGTTGCAGCATCTGGAAAAAGCATGACAAGGAAGAGCCCGGATTTTTCAAATAAGAATTTAGATGTACAGAAATGCTATATTTTTGTAGCAAAATTTATTGCCGCTATCACAAGTCAGATAAATTGAAACTCAGTGGTAAAGGTCTGAACAAAGGAGTTCCAAAAATTCAGGAGATGAAATCATGTCAAAAAACAGGAGAATACGCGATGAGTCAATCAACCTCACACCTACTAACAGAAGTTTCAGAACTGTAAATCAAATGGTTGCTGCATATGAACAGACAAAGAAAGGACTTAGTTATTTATATCCAAAAAGACAAGTTTGAGATGATGGATTTCAATCAAAACAATTTAACTTATGAGAACTGAGGCAATGTAATAAAACTATCAGAAGTGATGCAATGAAGTTAACTTATGTACGATGCAGTATTTTGTTGGTTCTGCTTGTATAAAAATGAGGTAAACTTGAAATACGATGCAGTAATATACATATATTTTTTGAAATGAACCCTTATTGAAAAGTTTGAATACAGTTGATAGAGACTTTTATGAGGTGGATTTGTTGAAATCAACCATTGAAAACAGAGAATCCATCATAGTTGGATTTTTTTCAAACTGCGGTATGCAAAGCTGAGACTGCTGGAGGTGTACTACAATTTCTTGCTGTACTACTTGCTGTACTACAAGTTCTGGGAAGTAAAAAAATTGGAGAGTTGAAGATAGACACAGACTCACTTTAATTAGCACTTGTTGAAGAAATTTTATATCATTGGATCCAACCAGATAAAAGAGCTGCATGGGGAAAAGTGGGGAAAAGGCAGTTGCAAAGTTTTTTTTATGATCGTGTTGCAGCATCTGCAAAAAGCATGACAAGCAGGAGCAGGGATTTTCAAATAAGAAATTAGATGTAAAAAATGCTATGTTTTTGTAGCAAACCTTATTGCTGCTATCAGAAGTCAGATAAATTAAAAATCAGTGGTAAAGGCAGTCAACAGAGTTTTCAGAACTGTAAATCAAATGATTGCTACATATGAACAGACAAAGAAAGGACTTGGTTATTAGTATCCAAAAAGACAAGTTTGAGATGATGGAATTCAATCAAAACAATTAAACTTATGAGAACTGATTCAATGTAACGAAACTATAAGAAGTGATGCAATGAATTTAAGTTGTTTACGATGCAATTTTTTATTGGTTTTGCTCGTAAAAAATTGCGGTAAACTTAAAATACGATGCAGTGATTTATATATATTTTTTTAGTTTTTGTTTTTTTTTTCTCAAAAAATCTAATTTTTTTCAAGTTTCAGTAGGCTTAAGCGTAGTTCCAGGTAGATAGAGCACTATTTCAAAAGAATATCAATTAATAGAGTGATTAATAGATCAAATTATATCAAATCTTATCGTGTTTCAGAGTTTTCAGAAAATCTCTCATTATTTTTATTTGAAAGTCTCAATTTTTACCCAAAAACTCTTACCATTAACTTACCATGAGCCAAAAACCTAAGTGAAAGGCTTTCGTTCCACAATCTTCATGTAGTACACCAAAGATGTTTACCAATTAAATAACCTACGCCAAGATTTTTGCGAAAAAAGAACAGACAATTTCACACAAAAGAACGCTTTTCTTACCATCACATTGAAACCCTACCAATTCTATTCCCTAGTTTAGTATATTGAGAAACCTATTCCCTATCCCAATACTTTAGGAAACCTATACCCTATCTTGGGAGAAACGATATTGGAGGGAGATTAAATGAAAAACTATGCAATTGAGAACGATATGGTAAAACATCTTCAGAGAATGCTGATAACTAGCTTTAAGCTAGAAAATGGAACATTTATAAGCCCTCTATTCAATTTTTTTTTTCTGGAAATTGTCTTGCAGTCCGCCAAATTAAGTACTCTCCTCAGTGTGCAGTTTTCTCCTCATAATGTTTTTGAAAAATTTCGTTCAATCAGTGATTGAAGATAGAAGAGAAGGAGATGGAAATCCTTGATTAGAAGTTGCAGCAGAAACAATGAAACTTTTTGCAAAAACCTCCTATGGATATCAGATCATGGATAGATCCATGCATACAACCACGAAGTATCTCAGAGATGAAAAGACCCATAAGGCAATCAATGAACCCTTATTCACAAGTTTGATTACAGTTGATAAAAACTTTTATGAGGTGGAATTGTTGAAATCAACCATTTAACACAGAGAACGCATCATAGTTGGATTTTTTTCATTTTACGGTATGCAAAGCTGAGATTGTTGGAGATGTACTACAATTTCTTGCTGTACTACTTGCTGTACTACAAGTTGTGATGTAAAAAAAACTTTGGAGAGTTGGAGGTGGACACAGACTCACTTTACTTAGCACTTGTTGAACTAATTTTGTATGATTGTATCCAGCCAGACAAGAGAGCCACATGGTGTAAAGTGAGGAAAAGTGATTGCATAGACACTTTCAAGGCAGTTGCAAAATCTAATTTATTTTCTCGATCGTGTTGCAGCATCGGCAGAAGGCATGACAAGCAGGAGCCGAGATTTTTCAAATAAGAAATTAGATGTACAGAAATGCTATGTTTTTGTAGCAAAATTTATTGCTGCTATCACAAGTCAGATAAATTGAAACTCAGTGGTAAATGAGTTAGGACCGATGTGGTTAACTCATAGAGTAATTTTGGATAGGGTACACCGTCTGCTCGTCACGCTATCTTATTTTCGGCCGGATAGATTCGTGCAACTTCTTAGTCTAATACCGATCCTAAACTTACTCTTATATCTACTAGTCTCAGGGTGTTTAACTAGTCTCTGCTAGGCTCAATAGATCCAGATTATACTGGCTTATTGCAACTACTGAAGTTCTCTTGGAGAGGCAAGTAATTTCTAAGTTAAATTCAAATCTCTCTGGTGCTGAAATTACAAGTAGTTTCAGCACTTACAAATAAGTGGGTTGTTAGTTAGATGGATTATGATTGGTTAAGATTAAATATTTTACAGTGGTAAAATATCTAATTTATCCATTAATCAAATGTAGTTTAGATCAGGTTCCACCCATCCGGGGTTTACAGAGTTTTTAGAACTACCTTTCTTCTCTGCAATTTGAAGGATGGATGATGAACGTTGGTATTTGGCGAACATCATTTTCTTGTCCGGTTCCTCTTGGATAGGAAATTGTTACGTCATCATTTGACAACGACTGTGATCCCCAATGAAATCAACCCGATTTCAAAATGGTTTGCTATGACAGGTTTTTCTGTATTATGTAGAGAACTTGTTTTGTGTGCAACCTCGTCTGGGAATGGCGTGGAGATCGTGTGTGGAAGGGATGCCTCGTAACTCGGATCTGTACGTATACTTGAACATCGAGGTGGTCATTGTTTTAAATCAATGAAGTCCTTTTCTGCGAAGTCAAGTCGTACTCTAAATCCTTTGAGTTGTGATTGTGGACGGCATGTCGGTTGTGTTTAGCCATTCTTTTGTTCGAGTGTGATGGGATCATCTAGTCTTGGGATGTTCGTCTTTGTTGTTGTGATCTATATACTGCAAAGTATGATTTATATTTTATAAAATTATGTTAATTCGGTTTTTTAATTATGAATTTAGTTAGTCGTTTTCACAAAAGCGTTTTGTTTTAGTTCGGTTATTTTGAAGAGTTACTCAACCTTGAGTACCTCTTATTAAATATAGGAGTGTGTTCACAAAGCGTGGATGTAACGCAGTGGGTTAGGTCGGCTATAGAGCGTGCTCAGGACGTCTCTCTGGTGGGTTAGGCCAGGAGTGGGAGTATGATTTCATGCTGTTTCTTTGAGAGGTCCTGTTATGTGATAACGTTTTATGTTGGGTTTATGTTGGTCTTTCTTATGTTACTTTGGTTGTGTCCTTTTTTCAAAAATCAAATTGTTTTTGGTATGGGTTTGTCTTGCGACTTTTTTGTGTTTTATTATTTTTTTCTTAGACTTTATAATAGTCTTCAAAAGAATAAATTATCCAGTTTTAAACTGGGTTAATCCGGTTTGGGTACAGTTGGTTTTCTTTTTTTAGTCATGCTGTTATTTTATGTTTTGAGGTGTTTAGTAAGCTGCGTTGGTTAGTTTGTTTTAGTATTTAATTCCTTTCCAACCGGGTTAAAGGAAAGTTTGAAACTTGTTATCTTGTGTTAGAGTTGTTGATAGTGAAAGCTTGAAACTTAAAATCATCATTTAATCAATTCTTCGTGGGCGAGCTGTGCAAGTTTGGATAGAATTCTTGTGCGAGTGAATGAAAATATTAAAAAGGTTAGTACTGCTTTCTCATTTTATCAATTTATTGCATAGAAATTGAATCTTACTGCTTTTGGGGAAGTTAAAAATTATAAATGTTCATCGTATTTTAATTTTACTGCTTCTTGGGGAAGTAATTTATAAATGAAATTACTAAATTTGGTATGAATTTTACTACAATACTTAGTGCAAGAAATTAACGAATTTTAAGATAATTTAACAAATTTGTATTTTTATTTTTCTTTTCTATTTTGTAGATGATCGTGGTGTGAAGACCAGAAATATAAATCACACATTGATAGAAAATGGTTAGTACTAATTTAAATTTATTAGTTAAGAGTATTTCAAATTATACTTACCCTAATCTTCTGGGGAAAAAACCGTGAGGGAAGATGTCTTGAATCATATCTGATGTTGTTAGTAATTTGGCTAGTATGCGTATTTTGTTTTTAGTTTGTAGCAGTGGCGAAAGCAATTGAAGTGCTTTAATGGTGTTTAGTTCTTCGTTGCCGACTGCAAACTCGTAAGGTGCGTTTTGAATGAGGTTATATATTTTGTGATTATATTTAGCATTGTGAATGAATTCTAATATGGGTATTTCAATAGGCTGGATAAATTCATGCGGGATAAGGCAGGGTCTGGATTCGTCGGCATTGAAGGCCTTCGTGATGGGACAGAATATATACATTTGGGTAACTGGGTCATAGTTGCGGAGGATGCCGTGGAGATTAGTATCTTTGATGCAATATGTAAAATTAAGAAAAAATGGTGACGTGTATTTTGAGTTGAGAAACTGGAAACGATGGTGAGGTTGTCTTAATGGAGTGTGTAAATCAAAATGATTTTGTATAAAACGATAATGTGTATAAGTGTGCGTTTGATTAGTGCGTAGCATAATATCGTGGGAACAGTGCAAATCGCGTTCCTGTGGTGAAAGAAAGTGAAAGGTTAGTGAAAAAAACTGAAATTTATCATAGAAGCTCTCGTATGCTTGAATATCAGCTAGTGATTCTGAAATTATGTGGTCATTCTTTCTATCAAAAATATTAAGTGTGAATACGTATGAAGTTTTGATGAAAAATTTTTCTGTTAGTTGCGGGTTTGCGAAGCGGTCTTCATCTAAAAATTGCTCTTGATTAGGGCGGATGATAATATGATCGTAGTATTCTATTGCAAATTCGTTAGCTCGGGGTGCAGTGAATGTTTTAGTAACTTTTTATATCCCACGTAAGTAAATTGTCGAGGTGTTAGTGTTGTGGTGAGTCTATATAACATGTTTTTATTCTTTTCATGCTGTCATGAGTATTTGCTAGTGGTAGGCAAAGGGAGTTAGTAAAAATATAATAAGCTGTCCAATGAAGTGTTGGCATTAAAACATGTTCATCTACAAAATTGCGTGTGTCATTAGTATCGTTAGGTGTGTTTAATGCATAATGCGGAAATGAGGATAAGGTGATTTCAAGAAAATTTTTCAAGTTGGTGTGTTGCGGGTGATTAAGATATTCGCGGGCTGTTCCGGGTGTTGGTTGGGAATGGGTGATTTGGAAATTTTCGTTTAAAAGTGCGAAAAGCTCTGTGAGTGCTAGTAGGTGTTTCGGTGGATGTGGATGATTGTGCTAATGATGGAGTGTAAGCTGAGGAGGGTGTGGGAGTAGGTGGATTTGAGGATGTTATTGTGGATGATAGTTGATGTATTGTAAGGGTGTTGGGGTGTATTAATTGTTGTTGTAAAGTTATAAAATTATCGAGCTCCTGGGAAATTTGGGGGGTATCTGGGAAATTATTATATGATCTGTCGGAATGAAGTGGAGAATAGGTTGGGGTCACTTGGGAAGCATAAGCAGGAGTGGAATTTGATGGCAGTGATGATTAGATGGGATTGGTTGAAAAGGGGTTTTGAAAAAACTAAGGAGTTGGTCTGGGTATAATTAGAGGGAGATGGTTCGGAGTCTGCAAATTCGTCGGGGGTTTCTACATTAGAGTTATTAAATTGTGAGATAGAATATAAAACTGAAATATCTGAGTTAGTATCAGAATTCGTGCTTGATGATATATTAATAATCGGAAAATCGGGTGGTGGGAAAGCAAAAGTGGAATTATTGGAATTTGAGTTTGGAGTTTGGCTGGGTGGGAATTTGAGCGATGGAGGGATCCAAGTTGTCGGCTCATCGTGGGCTAAAAAAATGATTACTTTGAGACTGAAAAGTGGTGGTGTGGGGTTGTTCTATAATTTGTTCGTATGTATTATCATTTTGTGAATGATGTGTCATTATATGTTGGATGGGACTTTGTGTTGTATTTGGTCTGGAATTTGGATTATTTGTGATTCCTGGGTTTCGGAAATTTCGGGGAACTAATGATAATGGATGATTTTGTGGTAGGGGTGGCAACTGTGGTGCGGTAGGTGTTATTTCTACGTTATTGTGTTCTTCGTCGTAAGTGTTTTGTCTTGTGGATATTTTTGTGTTATATTCTTTTATTTGTGCATCTGGAAGTATTTTGTTTATTGATGCTGAAAAAATTCCAAAAAATCCTGCAAATAGTATACGTGCTACGCTTGCCTGTCGGTTTACTTGTGTGTGTATAGCGCATGTGTTATAGATTCCTTCTAAGAGTGAGAAAAGAAAACCTATAAAATTAAACATGGCGTATCAGATAGTTAATTTTTCTAAGATGTAATAGGGCCATCCTAGAAAAGCTAGAATTTCGCTCTTTAAGGTGACAAAACTGAAAATACCTATAGGTGAAATATCTTGTGGTCTGTATTTTTCACCGTTTAAATATATGTAGTCTTTAATGTCTTTAAAATATCCGCTATAATCTTGTGTATAAATGTCTGCGAATCCTGCGGTTTCGGCAAGTTTTCTTAATTCTGGTCAATTGATTGTCTTTTTGTGTTAATTTGTGTTAGTCTGTATTGTGTCCATTTGTGTTAATAATTCCTGAAATTGTTGTGTTCTAATGTGATGTTGGATATCTGATTTAGAATATATTCCAATTGATTGTAAATCAATATTTGGATTACGAGCAATAGCTCTGATGCTTTCGGGTGAAAATTTTTTGAGTGATTGCATTAGTGTAGGGTATGGTGTAAGGAGATAGTATTTATCTTCATCAGGTTTTAACTGTACTACATTGTGGCTATTTTCTGATCCACATGGGACTGCGGTATCCCAAAAATATGTTCGTCTTGAAAAAATGTCGAAAAAATGTATTTTGTTTTTATAGAATATAGGGATTCTTTTATAACAACGTTTGTCTTCAAAAACATATAGTGGTGATACTTTTTTGGTGCAAGTATAAAACCATAAAATACTTTCTTCGTAATCTAGAAAATTTGATCTTTTTCCTGATAATAAGTATGTTGCCTAAGGTATTTTTAGTACCGCTAGTGCGAATGATTGTAGGATTTGTGTTCTTTCCAATTCGCATAGTTGATGAAGTGTCTCTAATTCGGAGAGTGACATTTCTTAAAAAATTCGACTAATTGTGTAGTCTAACTTCATATCTAAGTGGATATCGTAATGAATATTACCAAAATAGGTGCTATTCATTAGTGGTAGTTCTTGTAAACGTGTGCTTTTACTGTCATGTGGTTTTAGTTTTCCACCAGGTTGACCTGTGCTTTTTTGAAAGTTAACTGGGATGTATGATGATCCTTCATTTAAAGGATGACTTACGGCATAAGGGTAAAATTTTATTTTTCCAGTGGTCATGTCGAAACCTTTTTCGTATTCGACAAGTATTTCAGAGTATTGTGTCTTATACTTGTGTTAGACAGATTCCTGTATTTACATGCAAATTCTGTTCTTGATAGATTTGGAAACGTGTTAATTTATTTTATATATCATGAATATTTCTAAAATCATTACTTTGTTTTCGGGATGGGTTTACTTGTTCGTATGGAATTGATTCTACAAAATATTTTTCATGAAATTTTATCATTCGAGCGTGTATTTTTGCTACTTGGAATGTTGTGCATGTATCTTCGGGAAACCAAACAATTGTTGCTTGGGTCCTTGTTGTAGGGTCACAATAACCTTGATCATTTTTGCAAGGTAATCTAATTCCTTGATAGATCATTGTGTTATCAGATAAATCTCGTGTGAATTGTACTTTTTCGAGTTGTATTTTCCAATCGAAAAACATTATTTCTTGATATCCTTTATTTTTTGAGTCTGCTTTGCAGTTTGAGGGGTCATTTATTCCAATGTGTGGTATCCAGTGTTTATCGTGTATGTCATAAGTTAATCTTCCGTGTGGGCCGTTGTATGGGTATTTTTCGTCTAATTTTATATGTCCTTGATATCGTTCAAGTTCTGCTTGATGTACAGAATCGGCAAAGACTTGAAAATTTACTATTTTTCTGTCTGTGTTTTTATTTTTTGTGATGTTTAGTCTTAGTAGTTCGTTTTTACAATCAT